TATTATTATTATTATTATTATTATTATTATTATTATTATTATTATTAATAGTATTATTATAATTTTGTATAAACTAACTTTTTAGAAAAAAAAAATTAAGTAAACGAGTACTATCGATATAGATACAATCCCAAAAAAAAAAAAAAGACAAAAATGTTATGTAGTTCCTTAGTTTCGTTATTTACAGTATAGGTATAATATTATTTTTGTCAATTAAATAAATTTAATTGTTTAATTGTTTTACTTAGTATAATGTATGTTAACATTATTATCATTATTATTATTATTATTGTTATAATGGCGTTTACTTTGCACACACATATAATACAGAGTGTCCCAAGAGTTTATACTAATAACATTATCTCCTATGACGATAAAGATGTTTAAATTATTTTTTCTTCGCTTATTGTTTAATGGATCTGAGAACTAAAATTTTAATAAAGTACAGAGTTTAAATATTTTTAGATAGACAGGAGATATATTAACTAGTATGCTTGTGGGACATCCTGTATATAACACACACATATGTGTATATATATTGATAAATGTACGAGTTAGGTATACAGCTGATTGTACAGATAAAATGTTTTGTATCAATAAGGAAGAAAGCAATTTTTAGGACAATCCTCTACTTTATCCTAAATACGTTACTATTATATCTTGTTATTATGGTACCACTACGAGTTATGGCTCTTCGATTTTCTGTATCATACTCTTGTCTGTATATTTAAAATAATATAAAAAAACAATGTATGTCAAAAATATATATAATGTATAAATAGTTATTCGTTCTACAAAAATACACTCGCGTTACTCGCCAACGACTGCGCGGATGAAAGCCGAGAAATTAAATTATAAACGTAAATAATCGCAGAGTCCTTGTGCGGGTAGCCGCATTTCGCAATACCAATCCGACTATTGTTAAAATTAATGTAAGCAACATTTTGAGAAAAACTACATTTTGGACGATTTAAGCGAAATCAATTTTATCCGCGCACCGAGTGTTCATTTGCGTTAGTTCAAAGTCCACTAAACGTTTTGTTTTTGACAATTTGAAACATAATCGCCAATACGTAAATTTATCAAAAAACAATGACTGCAGTTGTATGCTTTACAGTCGATGATTTCAAAAAGGTCACTTTTGTCGTCCTTTCCCCTACAGCATCACCGTATTATAATATACTACACTTATTAAGATAAATCTATTAAGATTATGATCTCGGGTGGTAAGAGAACCAACCCGTTTTTTATTGATTTCAATTATTATTATTATAAAACATCTTTCCGTGTTTTGTGCTTACCGATTCATAAAAAAAAAAAAAAACTTCATCGGACAAGAAACAGTAATTTTTTTTTTTTACGAATCTTAATTAAAATCTATAACTTATCATTTCGTTGACATCACATGACTGCCAGTGAATAAAATATTATTAACATCTTCTCTTAATAATTGAAAATAATAGTCGTTTTCATTTGAGTCACGGATATTATTATTTAATTTTTAAAATGAAATTGTTTTCGGACGGAAAACTAAGCAAACGCGAATAACATTTCCAGACCAAAAAATTCTTACGTGTGTTTTAAAAACAAAAAAATAATATGCCTAATTAATTATATTATAGTCGTATAGCACGCAAGGTCCAGTTCGGTCTAATGCACCAGTGATTCTATAAACTTTGTTTTTATGCGTCCCCTTTATTTAATGTAAAACAGTTATGGCGCGCCCCAAAGGTGTAATTTTTTTTTTACCATCGAAATCGTCAAATATTATGGGACATACCTGTATTTTTTTCCTAACTACATAATGAAATAACATTAAAAACACAGATTAAATAGATATTTTATATATTGGTAGGTTTTTTTTGATATACTCGGGGACAATTTAATAACAACGTATACCTCTAAAAATGCGTGGATATAAACGAAGTACTAATAATTATAAAAAAAAAAAAAAAAAAAATGACAATATATTTTTTAAAATAACGCAACGAGTGACTAGTCCAAAACGCGTAGAGAAAAAAAACCAACACTCTTGCGGCGGCCAATGTACAGTTACGGTCGCGGTCTAAACGGCATGATAAGGTGTAAATTATTAAACGAAACGGCTAACATTCGATTTTGGTGATCGAAATAATCGTGGACAAAATAATAAAAAAATAAATAAATATATTAAAAATCTGGCGTGGAGCGTATACACAATGACGGCGGGGCGCGGTTCGAGAATTACGCTGGTTTACATTAGCCACGAAAAACGTATTATTATTCATATTATTGCTCGGGGAACAAGACGTGTATCACCGGTGAACGTTAATACGTCTTTGCCGGTGTGCGCAGCAAAATATTTTACGCGATATCCCGCAGCGGTCCGTTACGCGAACGCGCGGAGCACTTATTCGTGGACCGTTCGCAAACGATAAATATTGCATTTTGTGTGATGTGTTCGTCGTAAACGATCACTCATCGTGTTCAACATCCTGATGAAACCTGGTGATCCTGGTGAAACCATGCATAATATGATTACGCGAATCACGAACGTCATATCGTAACGTACGACCCAACCCGATGGTAATTAGAATAAAACGTTCGTCGCATACCTAGTGTTACTGTTATTGGAACGCAGTACAAATAATTGCATATTAATTAACATTTTTAACACCCGATGAATTTCAAATGGTATTTATTTAATATGAACGTAATTACACTAATCATAGTTAAATTTCGTCGAAATATTACCAACACCTGAAATCCGACGAACACTGAAAGCCAAACCACCTACATAATATTATATTATTTTTTTTTTTCATATATATATGCGAATAGGACAATAATTTTTGGACAATATCTACATAATAATCAATATGTCTAGTGACAGAACCCTCAATATTATCTAAACACATCAATTGTGAGACAGAACAATTATACGGACGGAGTATTGGACAATATAAATCCATTCTTCGTTCCAATCACCGATTTGAAAATTTGAAACAACACACAATTACAGCATGTAACCATTAACTTAATGATAAATGAATAATTAAAACATTGTAAACAAGTATTCATTATAATCATTATTATTATTCAAATAAATACATGAGTAAGTATAACGGACCAGTAAGACATAACTATAAATTGTATACCATATCTGTGATACTAATAGTCTTAAACTAATACTAATTATATTTAATAGACAGTTCACGTCAAACGGACATAATGATTACTAGGGTTTGGATTTTAAAGCAAACCTTTTTGGTTTTTTTTACCTTTTTTACTTATAAATACATTTGTTGTGTTTGTGTTTCAATTTCTTTAATAACTTTTTACACTGCTTAGGTACAAATCGGTACGAACTGATAAAAGCTTCTGAAGATTGTGCATTTTCGATGTTATGTTTAAAATTATTAGTAATCTTAATTTATATAATTAATTATGTATGAAGTACTTTCCAATAACTTTGATGGACGTCTATGTACAAAAATATTTTAAGCCCAAACCGTCAACGTTTTACTGAAGATAGCTTATCTAAGAACATAATAGAGATTTTTTTTTTTTATTACCAATTAGTTATTCTATTTAATTTTGAGGTAATTTTTTTAATTGCTTTTTTTATATAATTTAAATGCCTTTTTTAGCATTTTTTCAAATTTTAAATGCTTTCTTTATTGATTATATTGCCTTCAACTCAGAACTTTAATGATTACATTATTATTGTTAAATATTCTTTTGATCATAGACTGTCGCGTTATTGAGTTCGAATTCATCAAAAAGCATAAAAATATTATTATAAAACAGATACTGAGAGAAGGTCAAGCTTTTTTATGTAACGTTGGTAATAATTTTCTCGAAATTCGACCAGTCATTTGAGTTATACATTTAATTGAATTTGATGGCTAATCGTTCAAGTATTTACTATTTGATGATTATTTAAGTACGACATTTTCAACGAACTACTTATATATTATAAAACAGTTTTTTGATTATTTAATTTTCTCACTACTTTGCACGATAAGTTATAATTAGATTTAAACTGAATCAGTTATTATGTAAAATCTTGAAACTATTGGTTTTATAGTTGAGCTGTTGATACCATATATATTGAACGTACTACTTAATAATAAAAATACAAACAATTCCATTTGAATTTTCAAACCATATAATATTCTGAAGTTACCTGAATAAGAAACCATTTTTACATTTTTAAAAGCATTTTAAAGCCTAACTATAGTGTTCATTTATACTGATTTGTATGTAGTCTGACTAATGTCTGATTCCGATCAAGAAAAAATAAATTGACTTACATAGACTTACTTTAACTAATAGAAAAGAAATTTTATAATTTTTTAAACTTAAATTAACTTTCATCTTTTTAATTATGTACTACTATTTTTGCTGTTTTATTTTTGTGATAACATGCTATACAATTATCATGAATGAATTGGAAATTTCTATATAAAACGAAATAAAACAAAATAAAAATACTTTCTTCTTCTCCTTTACCTTTCTCTCGACTATTTGAGATCGACCACAAAAAATAAAATAAAATAAAATATAAAAAATAAAAAAATATTAATATGTATATAAACAAATAATTATAAACATAAATAAATAAATAAATGCTCATTGTGATTTTATTGATTTCATATATAACTGACGATGAATTTTAACTCTAAACTAGTCATACTTTACAAATATATATAATAATACTCCAGGCTAAGCATTTATTTATTTATTTCTATATAAAACTATTTGTTTATTTAATCATATATTATTTTATGAGTATTAACCGTTTATTAATTTTAATTTAATTTTTATTATTTAAAAAAAATATTATTTATAAGAACTCATAATTTTCCCTTGGACATATTACTTATATTAAATGAAGGAAAAATTACCAGAACTGTTCAAAAAGCAACAAAAAAATTTACTTACATAAATTATATTCCATCGAAATGCTTTTTTGATTAAAGAAACCCATCGACAAAGACGT